ATCTCGTTCTAGATGGCAGACCGACCAGGCAGGTTCCTGATACCCTACTGAACCTCTAAAGAGGTGATAACTAGGGCACCTGTAAGGGCCACATCAGCCTGGTGTCAGCAGCAGTCCTGTGTGGCTAAGGGTCAAGCCCGGTTCTGTGTGAAGCCGGACTCCATGAGGACCAGACACTGAGTGACGAACACCTGCTGTCTTAAGCTGCAAAGTGTCGCTATTAGAATAAGAATGGCACAGGTACAAATCCTATAAACCTGGTTCAGCCGTGAGGTTATATTTGGGGCCTCGGTGGTTACAGTGAAACATAGGTTTTCTGTTCAACAGTACAAGGGTTAGGCCAGGTTTACTGTTCAACAGTACAAGGGTTAGGCCACGTTTACTGTTCAACAGTGCAACGGTTAGACCAGGTTTACTGCTCAAGAGTGCAACGATTAGGCCATGTTAACTGTTCAACAGTGCAACGGTTAGGCCAGGCTTACTGTTTAAAAGTGCAACGGTTAGGCCAGGTTTACTGTTCAGCAGTGCAACGATTAGGCCATGTTAACTGTTCAACAGTGCACCGTTAGGCCAGGTTTACTGTTCAGCAGTGCAACTATTAGGCCAGGTTTATTGTTCAGCAGTACAACGGTTAGGCCAGGTTTACTGTTCAGCAGTGAAAGGGTTAGGCCAGGTTTAATATTCAACAGTACAACGGTTAGGTCAGGTTTACTGTTCAACAGTACAACGGTTAGGCCAGGTTTACTGTTCAGCAGTGCAGTGATTAGGCCATGTTTACTGTTTAACAGTACAACGGTTAGGCCAGGTTTACTGTTCAACAGTGCAACGGTTAGGCCAGGTTTACTGTTAAACAGTGCAACGGTTAGGCCAGGTTTACTGTTCAACAGTGCAAGTTAGGCAACTGTTCAGGCAACGGTTAGGCCACTGTTTCAACAACAGTGCAACGGTTAGGCCAGGTTTACTGTTCAACAGTGCAACGATTAGGCCAGGTTTACGGTTCAACAGTGCAACGGTTAGGCCAGGTTTACTGTTCAACAGTGCAACAGTTAGGCCATGATTACTGTTCAGCGGTGCAACTGTTAGGCCAGGATTACTGTTCAGCAGTGCAACGATTAGGCCAGGTTTACTGTTCAACAGTGCAACGGTTAGGCCAGGTTTACTGTTCAACAGTACAACGGTTAGGTCATGTTAACTGTTCAACAGTGCAACGATTAGGCCAGGTTTACTGTTCAACAGTGCAACGGTTAGGCCAGGTTTACTGTTCAACAGTGCAACCGTTAGGCCAGGTTTACTGTTCAACAGTGCAACGGTTAGGCCATGTTAACTGTTCAACAGTGCAACGGTTAGGACATGTTTACTGTTCAACAGTACAACGGTTAGGTCAGGCAACGATTAGTTTACTGTTCAACTGTTAGGCAACAACAGTGCAACGGTTAGGACATGTTTACTGTTCAACAGTACAACGGTTAGGCCATGTTAACTGTTCAACAGTGCAACGGTTAGGCCAGGTTTACTGTTCAACAGTACAACGGTGCAACTGTTCAACAGTGCAACGGGTTAGGCCAGGTTAGGTCAACAGTACAACGGTTTAGGTCATGTTAACTGTTCAACAGTGCAACGGTTAGGCCAGGTTTACTGTTCAACAGTGCAACCGTTAGGCCAGGTTTACTGTTCAACAGTGCAACGGTTAGGCCATGTTAACTGTTCAACAGTGCAACGGTTAGGACATGTTTACTGTTCAACAGTACAACGGTTAGGCCATGTTAACTGTTCAACAGTGCAACGGCTAGGACATGTTAACTGTTCAACAGTACAACGGTTAGGCCAGGTTTACTGTTCAACAGTGCAACGGTTAGGACATGTTTACTGTTCAACAGTACAATGGTTAGGCCATGTTTACTGTTCAGCAGTGCAACGGTTAGGTCATGTTAACTGTTCAACAGTGCAACGGTTAGGTCATGTTAACTGTTCAACAGTGCAACGGTTAGGTCATGTTAACTGTTCAACAGTACAACGGTTAGGCCATGTTTACTGTTCAGCAGTGCAACGGTTAGGTCATGTTAACTGTTCAACAGTGCAACGGTTAGGTCATGTTAACTGTTCAACAGTACAACGGTTAGGCCATGTTAACTGTTCAACAGTACAACGATTCCCACAAGCTCCACTCTTAAATCTTCTACAAATCTGTGAGAACCATAGTCATGGACCTGTGTGGGGACCTTGTTGCAGACTTACTAGGATAAATAACAAGGGAAAGAATTGTGATTTCAACAACCTGCTGAGTAGATGTTGATTACTTCCCTTACTATTTATGTTTCAAAAGATGATTAAATCAGGCTTGTTTTGCTAGGGTCCGTATGGGAATGAAATAATAAAAACATTGTACTCGACCAAGCATGTCGTAAGAGCCTGCTAAGGGTGTGGTTACGCTTTAGGTTGTCTCAAGCAGTGCAAAGAAAAACGCAATAGCTACAAAAACTAACTTGTCATGGAAAAGTCAAGAGACTGTCCCCGAGGCTCTTGACCGGTTCCTCTTGAACCGTAAGAATCCTTTTTTTTTCTTTGGTGCCACCGTGAAACTGGTGCCGCCACTTCACCTTTAAAGATTGACAAACTTCTTGATTTCTGCGGTTTAAATTGCATGTCATACCACTCGACAACTCAGTCCAACCTCTTCGTGCGGGCATCATCCTGACTGCCCCTTATGATAGTTGTGTCATCCATAAATGCATACCGTGGCGGCATCCAGTGGTCCCCAATTTGAAGAGCTTGCCCGTAGCAGGCAGCCCTGTCTCACCTGACCTGCATGACCATAACGAACAGTGTTGGCGAGATCGTACATCCCATAGCTATCCCAACCTGGAGCTTAGTCCATCTTGTAGTAAACGTGGGGGTAGAGAAACGTATGGCTAACTTTTGGAAACATTGCTCGATCATTTCAGTGATCTGCGTCGGTACGTGGAACATGCGAAGGGCATGCCACAATAACTTGTAGGGTACTGCCCTATAAGCGTTGGCGAGGTCCAACTATATCACGTGCAACTGGGGTATCTTTGCTTTAGCTCTCTGCATACTCTCCCATAGACTTGCACGTGGACAACATTACCCAGAGGCACAGACAGGGCCATTACTGCACAGTCCAAGCCACAGCCGACAAAAACATGCGGATAGTGGTGGATCTGGTCTACTCGCCGCCTTCGCTGTCTGGGGACGCTCCCAGATTAGTCTGCAGCTCCGACTACGTGCATCTGGGCAACGATGTGGAGCGGCTGGATGTTGACTTGATGACGTCATACAAGTTTTGTGGAGAGGACTTTGTGCCCAATATGCCTATAGGCGTGGATAAGGGTAATTTATTACATCTGCTGTGGTAGTTATAAACAAAGGGGCAATAATTACGACTATAAGCCTGTTGTTATTCAAAGATTCAAAATCTTACCATTCCTGTTGCAGTCGCTCTCGTCCTCGCCATGCAGACAGTCTGCAACATGGTCACACAGAACGTCGCTCCACATGAGCACCGAACTGTTGTAGCCCAACTGTAGATCTGAGGGCACACACTTGACCACCGAACCAATCAGGCCGGTTCGAAGACCTCGGCAAATATCTGCGGACAGTGAAACATTCTAGTGACTGTGCGGAAGTAAAGGCGGTCGGTGAGGTGATGGTCCAGCCAGCGAACTACAGTTATATTAGCAATGCTCCAGTCTCGTGGACAGGGTCGGTTACCTTGATCTTGTGGCTTTAGTGTGTCTCAACAGACTGTGGTCGGTTACTTTTATCTTGTGGCTCTGAAGTGTCTCAGCAGACAATGGTCGGTTACCTTGACCTTGTGGCTCTGAAGTGTCTCAACAGACAGTGGTCGGTTACCTTCACCTTGTGACTCTGAAGTGTCACAACAGACAGTGGTCGGTTACCTTTATCTTGTGGTTCTGAAGTGTCTCAACAGACAGTGGTCGGTTACCTTGACTTTGTGACTCTGAAGTGTCTCAACAGACAGGGGTCGGTTACCTTTATCTTATGGTTCTGAAGTGTCTCAACAGACAGTGGTCGGTTACCTTGACTTTGTGACTCTGAAGTGTCTCAACAGACAATGGTCGGTTACCTTGACTTTGTGGCTCTGAAGTGTCTCAACAGACAGTGATCAATTACCTTGACTTTGTGGCTCTGAAGTGTTTCAACAGACAGTAGTCGGTAATCTGACTTTGTGGCTCTGAAGTGTCTCAACAGACAGTGGTCGGTTACCTTGACTTTGTGGCTCTGAAGTGTTCTAACAGAAAATAGTCGTTAACCTTGACTTTGTGGCTCTAAAGTGTCTCAACAGACAGGGGTCGATTACCTTGACCTTGTGGCTCTAAAGTGTCTAAACAGAGTGGTCGATTACCTTGACCTTGCGACTCTAAAGTGTCTCAACAGACAGTGGTCGGTTACCTTGACCTTGTGGCTCTGAAGTGTCTCAACAGACAGTGGTCGCTTACCTTGAATTTGTGGCTCTGAAGTGTCTCAACAGACAGTAGTCGGTTACGTTCACCTTGTGGCTCTGACGTGTCTCAACAGACAGTGGTCGATTACCTTGACCTTGTGGCTCTAAAGTGTCTCAACAGACAGGGGTCGATTACCTTGACCTTGTGGCTCTAAAGTGTCTAAACAGACAGTGGTCGATTACCTTGACCTTGCGACTCTAAAGTGTCTCAACAGACAGTGGTCGGTTACCTTGACCTTGTGGCTCTAAAGTGTCTCAACAGACAGTGGTCGATTACCTTGACCTCGTGGCTGTGAAGTGTCTCAACAGACAGTGGTGGTCAGTCAACTGGTGGGCCAGATCTGATGTCCTGGTGTGCGCCACTGAATCCTTAGGGAAACTCAATTATTACAACTGAGCTGAACACAAAAGTCGGCAATATATTGTCTTACAGAGATGTAGGGTTTTAGTTCCGTGTCTCTATAAGTGTTTCTCTGCCTCCGTGTCTCTGTATATGTTTCTCTGTATATGTTTCTCTGCCTCCGTGTCTCTGTATGTGTTTCTCTGCCCCCATGTTTCTGTATGTGTTTTTCTGCCCCCATGTTTCTGTATGTGTTTCTCTGCCCCCGTGTCTCTGTATGTGTTTTCCGCAGATTCCGACTCCTCTCAATTCTTGTCGCAGCCATATTCGTTCTTCTAACCCCCATCCCCATCTCTGTCTATCATGTCTATATCTCTGTCTATCATGTCTATATCTCTGTCTATCACGTCTATATCTCTGTCTATCACGTCTATATCTCTGTCTATCACGTCTATATCTCTGTCTATCACGTCTATATCTCTGTCTATCATGTCTATATCTCTGTCTATCATGTCTATTTCTCTGTCTATCATGTCTATATCTCTGTCTGTCATGTCTATATCTCTGTCTGTCATGTCTATATCTCTGTCTGTCATGTCTATATCTCTGTCTATCATGATTAAATCTCTGTCTATCACGTCTATATCTCTGTCTATCACGTCTATATCTCTGTCTATCACGTCTATATCTCTGTCTATCATGTCTATATCTCTGTCTGTCATGTCTATCACGTCTATATCTCTGTCTATCATGTCTATATCTCTGTCTATCATGTCTATATCTCTGTCTATCATGTCCATATCTATGACTATCATGTTTATATCTCTGTCTATCATGTCTATACCTCTGTCTGTCATGTCTATATCTCTGTCTATCATGTCCATATCTATGACTATCATATCTATATCTCTGTCTATTATGTATATATCTATGTCGATCATGCATATAGCTGTGTTTATCATATCTATATCTCTGTCTATCATGTCTATATCTCTGTCTATCATGTATATATCTCTGTCTATCATGTATATATCTCTGTCTATCATATCTATATCTCTGTCTATCATATCTATATTTCTGTCTATCATGTCTATATCTCTGTCTATCATGTATATATATCTGTCTATCATGTATATCTCTATCATATATATCTATATCTATCATGTTTATATCTGTCTATCCTGTCTATATTCCTGTCCATCTATTCTAGTTAATCATTCTTGGTCAACTCTCGCGATGATAATTCTCTTTACTCTATATCTCTCTCTCCTTTTCACTCTTCCCATTCTTCCTATCTCTGGCACTCCCCCACTCACTGTCCCCCACTCACTGTCCCCCACTCACTGTCCCCCACTCACTGTCCCCCACTCCGTCTCCCACTAGCACTTCAACGCTCCTACTATTTCCTGTTCTCTGTGCCACTCTACCACCCTGCCTCACACTCTGTTATCCAATCTCCCCCATAGAGTCTGCTTCTCCCCCTCTGTCCTATTCATTTACATCCTCTCTTATATCCACTCTCACACACACTCTCTCTCTCTCTCTATTTCTCTTTTCAACTCCTTTTCTCTCATTATTATATTCATAACATCCATATCAATCAATGATCATAACATGCTTTATTAGCAAATTACAACTGCTGTGCGAAAAATTTTCTCTACCTCTCATTCTCTCTCTACCCTCTCATTCTCTCTCTACCCTCTTATTCTCTCTCTACCCTCTTATTCTCTCTCTACCTCTCTTATTTTCTTTCTCTACCTCTCTTATTCTCTCTTTACCCCTCTTATTCTCTATCTACCCCTTATTCTCTCTACCTCTCTTGAAATGAGCGAAAACGTAGACTTGAAGTTACGCTTTCAACTATCTTGAAATGATGCGATGCTTCACTTGGAATGAGTCGTGGTCTACTTGTAATGAACCTTGACGTAGACTTGAAATGTACCTTGGTTTGCACCAGCTTTAACATCTAGGGTTGACAACACAAACGCCGCTCAGCTTCTTGGTACATTCTGTCAGTTTATTCTGGTCCATTTATTTCACATGTTCAAACATTATTCACACTGTATCACTCGCGACATATTCGAACATTAAACATTTGCGCAACATAAAGACGACATCTTCAAATACTACAACCGTCTTCTCTGACTTCTGATGATCGACTGACCACGAGGCTAGCTCGGGCTTTCCCTCGCTTCCTCGACTAGGCACAAGTATCTCGTGCTGTCCCTTGTTGCACGGACTTCCTGCTAGCCACAATGTACTCGTGGAGACCATGCACAGCAGGGTCATCACACTCTCCCCCCTTTTTAACAAAAATGACACTTTATGGAACATCAAGTGTCATTTTCATTTAACCAGATATAGTAAATCAATTTAATTGTATTCCCACTAGGGATTATGGTTCCTGATTATCCTCAATTACTGCCCTTTAAAACTGCCTTTATTAATATTTACTGCATGCTTTTCCCAGTACTGAGCTGGTGAAGAGTTTAAACCATCTTTGCACCTATTGCATCTGTAGTATTGTCTAGTCACTATATCTACTCTATCGGGTTTAAAGTGAAATGATGATAGTGATGATGATGATCAGCTTTGAGATATTTATTACATAGAAAATTGGATTAACCCATATTTCTACATCACCTTTCACAGGGTATTAAACCCCAAGGACTCTTAGCTGATATGATAGTGGTAAGATAGATTTAACATAGTACTTCTAGTTTCCCAAAAGCCCCTATAACACATTTTACAGGGTAATTACCCAACCCCAAGGAATCTACCACAGAAAAAAAAAATGCATGTTGAGATATTTTTTCATAGACCAAAGTCTCACCTTTCACAGAGTAATTACCCAACTCCAAGAAATCCAACATGAAAACCATGATAGTTGAGATATATTTGTTCATAGATCTTAGAGTTTCCTCCAAGTCTATAACCGCCTTTAACAGAGTATTTAACCCCAAGGAATCTCAGACACCTTTCCCCCTTTAGATGGACACAGATGAGTTCAGCTCCTCTACTATGCTTGTGCTTTGATGTGTGCACTCTTTCTTTACCATCAGTCTATCTAGTCAGCATCAGTATAATTATAGCAGTTTATAATTTTGGGTGTCGTGGACCAATTTACCATGTCCCTGTGCTGTACACCTATGCTAAAACATTTCAAATTGAATTTTTTATCTAAGTCATTCTGTGGAAAAAAATTTCTATATGATCTATTGCTAAATCTTTAATTCGGTTGCGCTGTTCCTGGGGAGAGAGAATTTTTTTTTTCTTTTCTTTTAACTTTTGAACTACTAATTCTATCATTACATGAATCCTAAAATAATCCTAATGAACTACTAACCTAAGTTAAATACATGTACACTATTAAAATACTACCCACAAATCTTTCATTCATCATTCATACCTGTTTTATTCTCTTTTATTCCCATTCATTCCATTAACTATCCTTGATCTTGATCCATCCCTGCAGGCTGTGTGTGTCTTGCTTGTACACTGGCGCTTGCTTTTGAGGTTCTCATTCCTTGGTTCGCACGACTGTTCTGCTCTGGGGTCTTTTATAGTAGGATAGCTGGTAATCTTGCAAATATGCTGACTTAAAATATAATTTTATAAGCTGACACAACACTATGATCAGTATTCAGTGACTGTATACACTGATATGTCACCTTTAAAATAATAATTGAATTAAACGGAAGGTGTTCAATACACACAGTATGTGGCTGCTTTTTGTCAATGAAATCAGGTGTTTATGCACTTTTTAAAAATACTTCATTAATTTAATATTTATTTATTTATGTACACAAACACTTTAGATAATTAACTTGATTTAACTTTCACAATAAATATTTGTAGGAACACTAGAAATATTGACATTTTGGTTGTCTGTTGTCTTCGCTTAAACTGTAGGAATGCTTCATTATTCTCGCATTCTTTATTTTATGATACGTTTGGTATTCGACGATCTTGATATTGTATAGATGCTCTTGAAGTGTCGCTTAGAATTTGATGATTTTGAAATGTTTCAATCGATTTTTGAGGTATCTGGAGAAAATTTCGTGTTCCTTGATAGTGATTTTCAAATTTGAATAATTCAGTGGCTGATATGTTTCTGTTTATTCCCTGTACAGTACTGGTTGGTGATTTCTGATTTTGGTTGAAATATGCCAATCTTGAAGGTGAAGAATGGTAAAATGTCAATTCTTGATAATTGTTCAGGTTTTGGTTGTAGGTAGTTCTATGTAGCTTCATGACTAATTATAATCTTGAATTTTATGCATGGTGATATGTTAGATTGATGTTGATGTTCAGGATGATGGACCGTAGTTTTAAGCTGGTAAATGGCGATATAGTTCATAAAAATAGATGGTACTTCAGTTGATGGTAATTTTCCTTGAATCAGCTGTTATTTTTGTTGATGGAGATGACTTTGTTCCCAGACTCGTATGTCTTCATCAGAACAGTCTCTAATGTTGAAGTCTTTGTATCCCAGAATCACATCTGTTCCGATGTTGCTGTTTACCACTACTTTCAATGGTCTTGATATATAGGGCGACTTCAAATAAATATAAGCTGTCCAAAATCGCATACAAAAACCTTCTCTGTCTAAACAGTAAACCATTTCTCCGCTATAATCTGATTTTTCTAAAAAAATTTCACGTACCAAAGTGATATTTGATTTTCTATTTAATTGCATTTGTGCTGGTTTCTTGTTTATCAAACATTTAGTTGACTTTTCCCAATATTTCTGACTTGTTGCTCTGTGGAATTGATCATAATCTATATATTTATTGTCCTCTAATAATGAAAATTCTTTATTCATGGCTTGTTTATCTATTAGTATTTCACAGTCTGCCTGTTTCATACTTTGCGTTTCCAATCCATTTTTTCCTTGATTGTGACTCTTGGTTGAATCAGATTTAAATTTCGTTTCTAGAAAAGTTGGTGGTTGCTGATGAATTTCCATTGTTTCTGAGTTTGACTTTTTCTCTGTTTCAGTGGCTGCTGTCTTTTTCGTTTCAACTTTCTTGCTTGTATTACTACTTTTGCTGGATTCTAATTCTGCAATTACGATTTCGTTCTTAATCTTTTTAGTTCCTGGACATTTCAATTGGCTTTTTCCTATAAACATGATATGTGGAGCTGTAACTTTTCCTTGATTCTTTCTCCAGTAGCACAGTGAACAATCTAGAGTAGGAATACCTTCCGAATCCATTGTAACTGAATTAGTTTTTGCAAACAAGGATCTTTTCTTGTCTTTTAACATCTGTTTCCCAACACAGTGTTTTACAATATGTCCGAATGCCTTACAGAAGTGGCACTTTTTAAGGTTATTCTTTTGTTTATTTTGCCACTTTTTATTGACCAAGTCTTCAATATAACTTGAATATTTAGGATCTCTGTCGCAGATAGTTGAACTGTGCTGGTACTTACAAAAAATGCACATCTTGATCTTCTGGTTACTTATCGATGTATCTTTCATTGTTGTCGCTGAAGCTACTTGCGACAAAGCGTTCTTACTTTTTACACCCTTTTAGAAGCAATTCTGATAAATGCACAATCGATGCACAAAATGTCACCTTAGTAAGAAAACTGATAGTAACTGTAAATAAAATTAGTTCATAGTACGCTAGTTTCCGCGAAACAATAATCGTCACAAATCTGATTTAATTCACAAACTTGATTTATAATATTTACGATGTGTAACTCTGGTGACCATGAAACTTCCTGAATTCGCCAAACTTAGTGATACGGTGTGTGGCCGGGCGTAGATGACACACCGTTTCTCATTGGTCGGCAGCTGACCTGTCGGCGCTTGATGTGTTAATTATAGGCCCTGCTCGGGGAAAAACGTTGTATTGTACACTGTTTTCCGCATGTTTATCTTACCTTGCAAGAACAATTGTTTTCATATGATTGAGGTCCGCGTGGTTTCGAATTTCCTTCGGACGAGCGCCCACTTGAAATGAGCGAAAACGTAGACTTGAAGTTACGCTTTCAACTATCTTGAAATGATGCGATGCTTCACTTGGAATGAGTCGTGGTCTACTTGTAATGAACCTTGACGTAGACTTGAAATGTACCTTGGTTTGCACCAGCTTTAACATCTAGGGTTGACAACACAAACGCCGCTCAGCTTCTTGGTACATTCTGTCAGTTTATTCTGGTCCATTTATTTCACATGTTCAAAAATTATTCACACTTTATCACTCGCGACATATTCGAACATTAAACATTTGCGCAACATAAAGACGACATCTTCAAATACTACAACCGTCTTCTCTGACTTCTGATGATCGACTGACCACGAGGCTAGCTCGGGCTTTCCCTCGCTTCCTCGACTAGGCACAAGTATCTCGTGCTGTCCTTTGTTGCACGGACTTTCTGCTTGCCACTATGTAATCGTGAGGACCATGCAAAGCAGGGTCATCACACTCTCTCTACTTCTCTTATTTTTTTTCTCTACCTCTCTTATTCTCTCTCTCAACCTGTCTCTCTCTACCACTCGTATTCTCTCTCTACCTCTCTTATTCTCTCTCTACCTCTCTTATTCTCTCTCTACCTCTCTTATTCTCTCTCTACCTCTCTTATTCTCTCACTCAACCTGTCTCTCTCTACCACTCTTATTCTTTCTCTACCTCTCTTATTCTGTCTCTGTCGTTATCTAGGTGACTGTTGCCCCCCTCCCACCTGTCACAGCGGCGTCCCTTACCTTGCATCTCGTCCCACCAAAGTCAGAGCGGCGTCCCTTACCTTGCCTCTCGTCCCACCCAAGTCACAGCGGCGTCCCTTACCTTGCCTCTCGTCCCACCCCTAAGTCACAGCGGCGTCCCTTACCTTGCCTCTCGTCCCACCAAAGTCAGAGCGGCGTCCCTTACCTTGCCTCTCGTCCGAAGCATCAGGGCAGTGGGAGAACCCGTCACACATATACCACAGGACACGCCCATAGCTGGCATCATAGCGTGGCAGGCGGGGTAGGATGCAGGTGCCGTCACCGCACCGAAAGCACAGCTCGGCGTACACGTCTGCACGTGTCTCACTGCCTGAGGAAGATAAGAGTGGACTGATGAGTGACCTCTGTCCCTCTCCGGACTATGTGGACCAGCATGAGTCGGTCAGTGTTGGACATGGACAATGTGAACATTCTGTGAAACTTAAGGGAAAACTTTGCGAAAACATCGTAACAATCAGCCTACACTCACATGATTAAAAGTGATATGGACACTTGACAATGCCACAGTTGTATTATTTTAACTATCATCATGTGGCATATTGTATGGAAACGTGTTTTCCATTTCAAGTCGGAGTGTTTTCCTTATAAGGAGTAAGTGATCTAACAGCTTCACCCATTGGTCTCCGCGAGATCATCTGATCAGATATTTTCACCAACCCGAAGATTCTCTGGAGAAACACAACAGATCTACACACATGATGCATGGGAGATCACTCGACCGGCCGCTGCTACATCTCCACAGAACCCCTTTTCATCGCTACATGACTGGAAAATAGATCCCTACATCGCTACATGACTGGTCAATAGATCCACACATCGCTACATGACCGGCCAATAGATCCCCACATCGCTACATGACTGGTCAATAGATCCCCACATCGCTACATGACCGGTCAATAGATCGCCACATCGCTACATGACTGGTCAATAGATCCCCACATCGATATATGACTAGTCAATAGATCCCCACATCGCAACATGACCGGTCAATAGATCCCCACATCGCTACATGACCGGTCAATAGATCCCCACATCGCTACATGACCGGTCAATAGATCCCCACATCGATACATGACTGGTCAATAGATCCCCACATCGCTACATGACTGGTCAATAGATCCACACATCGCTACATGACTGGTCAATAGATCCACACATCGCTACATGACCGGTCAATAGATCCCCACATCGCTACATGACTGGTCAATAGATCCACACATCGCTACATGACTGGTCAATAGATCCCCACATCGCTACATGACTGGTCAATAGATCCACACATCGCTACATGACTAGTCAATAGATCCACACATCGCTACATGACTGGTCAATAGATCCACACATAGCTACATGACTGGTCAATACATCCACACATCGATACATGACTGGTCAATAGATCCCCACATCGCTACATGACTGGTCAATAGATCCACACATAGCTACATGACTAGTCAATACATCCACACATCACTACATGACTGGTCAATACATCCACACATCGCTATATGACTGGTCAATACATCCACACATCGCTATATGACTAAACAATAGATCCACACATCGCTACATGACTGGTCAACCAGGACAGAGGATCAGACAGGACAGAGGATCAGACAGAACTGAGGATCAGACAGGACAGGATCAGACAGGACAGTGGATCAGCCAGGGCTGTGAATCAGACAGGACAGAGGATCAGACAGGACAGAGGGTCAGACACGACAGAGGGTCGGACAGGACAGAGGATCAGACAGGACAATGGATCAGCCAGGATCGACTCACCTGATCGGTGACAGAACTCATCGTGGCCGTTGCTACAGTCGTTGACCCCGTCACACATCCTTGACCTGTGCACGCACTGTACAGGAGAGCAGCGGAACTCCTCTGTGGTGCAGGTGACTGTCAGCGACCGGGTTCCGCGGGCAGGAGATTCCACATGGCCAGAGAGAGGTCATAAACAACATCATTGAAGTGTTTAATTGGGATCTTCATTTGAAATCAGACCCAGTGTACCAGATGGATACCCTTTGGTGTCTGCTTTTCACGATCGTGAAGACTAACTGAGCAATACCAAACTAAACACAAAGGTGGGAAAGCAAAGCAAGAACAAATATGAGCAGGAAGACCAGTATATAAAAAAACATTCAAGAAAGAAGGAAGAAAAGATGAACGAGACATGTCTGATCTGGTGATGTGTCAATACTGTGTTACCTAGTGTGTCAGTACCGTCTTATCTTGTGTTTAAGTATTGTCTTACTCGTTGTGTGAGTACCGTCTCTTCTTTTGTGTGAGTACTGTCTTACTTATGTGAGTACTGTCTCACTTGTTGTGTGAGTACTGTTTCACTTGTTGTGTGAGTACTGTCTGCCTGGTGTTAGTGAGTACTGTCTTACCTGGTGTTTAAGTACAGGCATACCTTGTGGTGTGAAGACTGCATTACCTGGTGTGTATGAGTACTGTCTTAACTGATGTGTGTGAGTATTGTCTTAATTAGCGTGCGTGAGTACTGTCACACCTGTGTTTGTGAGTGCTAACTTGTCTTACCTGTTGTCTGTGAGCACTGTCTTACCTGCTGTGTGTGTGTGAATGAGTGCTGTGTTACCTTGCGTGTGAGTACTGTCTAACCTGGCGTGTGAGTACTGTCTTATTTTTGTGTTAGTACTGTCTTACCTGGTCTGTGTGAGTTCTGTCTTACCTGGTCTGTGAAGTTCTGTCTTACCTGGCGTGTGAGTACTATGTTACCTGGTGTGTGTGAGTACTAAGTCAACTGGTGTGTAAGTTCTGTCTTACCTGGTCTGTGTGAGTACTATGTTACCTGGCGTGTGTAAGTAATAAGTTACATGGTGTGTAAGTACTGTCTTACCTGCCGCGTGTGAGTACTGTATTACCTAGTGTGTGTGAGTATTGTATTATATGGTGTGTGTGGCCTCTGTCTTACCTCGTGTGTGTGAGTACTGTGTTACCTGGTGTGTGTGAGTACTGTGTTACCTCGTGTGTGTGAGTACTCTGTTACCTGGTGTGTGTGAGTACTGAGTTACCTGGTGTGTATGAGTACTGTCTTACCTGGTGTGTGCGTCCTGTGTTACCTGGTGTGTGTGAGTACTATTTTACCTGGCGTGTTAGTACTGTCTTAGCTGGTTTATGTGAGTACAGTACTAGCTGGTGTGTGTGAGTATTGTCTTACCTGGCGTGTGTGAGTACTGTCTTACCTGGCGTGTGTGAGTACTGTCTTACCTGGCGTGTGTGAGTAATGTCTTACCTAGCCTTTGAGTACCGTCTTACCTGGTGTATGCGAGTAATGTCTTACTTGGTATGTGTGTGAGTACTGTCTTAACTTGTGCATGGTTACTGTCTTACCGAGTGCGCGAGTACTGTCTTACCTGGCGTATGAGCCCAGACTTTGGCGAAGAAATCTCTGGGTGGCCGAGAAGCCTTGTACACCAT